TCTTCTACGTGCTGTCACTCAAGCTGGTGCCGGAGACTGCTGGCAAGACCAACGAGGAGATCCAGGCAGAGTACGAGGAGCGCCGTCGCCGCTAGGTAATCTGTAAAAAATTGTACATATCATTGCTTTTCTGTAAATGGTCCTTTTGTCCACTTCAAAACCTGCTGTGTCCACTTCAAGAATTACTGTCAAATCGAATAAATATTTTGTATACGAAATACGTGTATTTGGCGCCATTTTTTCATGGGATGGAACTTGTCGGCGGCGAGCGTGTTGTCAACGGCTCAATCAAGCGAGCGTATCCGTTGCAGTCGATGCGCTCAGCATCTGGCCATGTTTCTACAGCATCTCCTGGCGGTGGAGAACTGGGAATGTTTGGTCCGGGCGTGGGGCCGTGCGGACCGGACGCGGCGCGGTTGGTGGCGATTATTGTCGAAAACAATATCCTTTTTACTTAACTTATTTTTATTTCAAAGGTATTTAGTTTTTTATTTGAAGCTGTCCTTAACCTTCTCAGTGGCAGAACACACAGGACGTTCGAGTCGTGTCTGGTGTTTTTCTACGATAACTGGGCGACCAAGATGCAGTTCCTGAAACGCCATGCAAGTATTAAAGAACTTCTCTTTGTGAACATCCAACAGATAAAGTAATATTTATGCAAATAACTGTTTGTGATACAGTACAAGCTTCGGGTCAAAGGACGTGGACTTGTGGCATTGGAGTGGGAGGCTGGAGCTGAAACGGAAGAGCGGATGCAGTGTGTCGTTGTCGCGGAGAGAAATGTGCTGAAGAAAACGCTCAACAGAAAACCACGGTTGTTTAATTTTCCGCATAGCTTGCACATTGAGGTCGCGTACGAGGAACCACAACGACTGCCCGACTCAGATCAATTGCGGTATCTTCCATCCAAAACAATTACAACGAGAGATCTACATTCTGGTACGCAACAGTTTTTTAATGCAGAAATTAGAATTACTTGTTGTGACTGACAAGATGTGTCGTGGTGAAGCCACCCCAGCGAGACAAACCCTTATTCAAGCACAGGCACCACCGAGAAAGGTATTACTCGGATAACAAAGTTAAACCAGAACGTTTTTGGGCTAACCAAGTGTATTTTATGTGGAACAGAAACCCAATCATGGAAAACGTACACTTGAGGTCGCGAGAATGACATCGCCAGCGTATCGGTACTCGCCCCTTTCCGAGTTGGTAGACGGATTTGCTGACATCTACGGGGTTGTCGTCAACATGACACTTCCCAAGAAAACCAGCGGACGTGATTTCTGTGTAAGTCGGTTGTCTGTGGCATCAGGAAGAACTGCATTGGTTTGTTACGCTAACTTGTGTAGATGACTGTGAGTGTGACGGATGAGAGCTGTCCTACGCGCGCAGCAGCGATCCAGGTCAACATTTTCTACCCGACGATCGAGAAGATACCGAAGATTAAGGTATACTAGCATGCATCTCCAACATTGTGAGCTGTTGGAAACTTACCTGTTATGGTGTAGTTTGTTGGCGACATCATTCGCTTTCACAAAGTAAAAATTCAGCAATACCAAGACAGAATTCAAGGTCTTAGCTTGTAAGTTGTCAGAAGTACCGTCACCGTGCTGGAATCTCAAAGTATTCACTAACAACGACTTTATGTGCGCAGATCCCGCGCAACACGGCATCTTGTTCTGCGAGAGAAGGCAAATGGTTCGCTTGAGCAAGTGACGAACTCCGATACCTGGACATTCGAGTCCTCCGACGAACTGCGAACCCGTAAACTCCTGTACGTTGCGTTCACTTGATACGCTTTTGGTTGATTTATTGACCTTCTGTGAGTCAAATGTAGGAAATGGGCACGGAAAAGTTTAGCCGAGGATGATACTTTACCTCAGGGATGCTCTCTTGCCCCCAAGCTTCTATCCGAATTGAAGTTTGCAGAGGGATTTATTGACCTTGTGGTCCGCGTCCTGAATGTGGATGATTGCGACGAGCCCGTACGGTTAACAGTTTGGGATGGTTCAGGCAGCGCAGAGGAATCGGATCAAGTTCTGGTGCGTGCATTACAGGACAAAGGCGTTGCAGTCCCCCCATACGGACTACTCAAAGAAGTGATCATGTCATCCTGCTGGCTTGTCGTGCGTGAAATGTGCTTCGTCGATGGAATGCTCAAGAACTGGTGTCGTTTTCGCAATTTGGCAGTCGGAGTAGACGAGCCTATACCCGGAGCTGTAATTGCTCCTGGAGGAAGAGAAATCCTGCGGTTCCGGGAGGTATCGTCTTTCGTGTTGATGCCGGACTTCGCGTTGGACGTACGGCGACGTTGTTCATTGATGGGCACGCCGAACTCAAGCATAACAGCCAACAATGACCAGCTCCGTACTTGTTCCCCAACGGAGAACCGTGTCAGTCCAGAGCAAGTTGTCACGGTGATTCCCGATCGTATCCGGAAAAATATCCCTGTGACTCCTTTGCGTGAGATCCTCAGTTCTCCTCAAACCCCTCGGAAGTTCCACTGCTGGGCTCGTGTCCGCAGCATTTGGCCTAACGACATCGAAAAGATCTGCAAACCCAAGTCTGGCAATAGTGACGAATTCATTTATTCGTTCGCGTTGACTGTCGAAGAAGGAAGCGAGTCCTTGAGCATAATTGTGTACGGCAAAGACGCGGTAAGTCAGCACCTACAGCAACAGATGTGACAGTGCTAAACCTGCTTGTCTTTCTGCTCATAGGAACATTTTCTTCACGGCATCCCTCCATGTGATCTCAGCAGTAGTACAAGCTCCAAAACGTTGCTGGAAAAGCGCTTCGCTGCTCTGTTGAAAGCATCCAACGCCTTCCATTGGTGTATCAAGTCATACTCCGTGTCGTTGCCATCTGGGCGGTCTGTCTGCCCAGGAACTGCTGTTCGATACCGTTTGTTCGACACCCTGCTTCAATGCTCGTAACCGATACTAAATCAAGTTCAAACCTGTGCGAAAGCAAGCAGGAAGATTTTTTCGTGTGTGCCATGCACGTCATTCCATTATTGCAATGCAAACATGAATATACTTTACTTGTCTGGCACTTCACGGAGAGCCAAGACTCGAGATAGAAATACTGTCAGCAGGGTTGCCTTTCATGCCTTCCAGATCCAATTCGCCCAGCCTGCCTTGCTGATGCAGCTAAAGAATACAAACACAACATAAGCGTAAGTACACCAATCACCAGCTACCAATCAGACGTGGCATACCTTCTCCAACCAGTAGAACTCGTTGTCCTGCGGCATGTATCCGCTCATACGTCCGCCACCCATCGCGTTCTGGATAGCTTGAGACTGCATAAGCTGCTGCGACATCGACATGTGGCTGCTGTACATCATAGTGTCTCCCATCCTCATCGACTTCTCCATCTCTTCTTCCTTCAGCTTGCCCAGACGTTGCATAAGTGCCTCTCCTTCACGAGCACCGACCCATTTCGGGTGGTTCTGCTTGAAGTTAATAAACGAGCTCTCCATCTTGGCGTCGTTACCGTACTCCTTAAAGTCGAACTCCGCGAACCGGCAAACAGCTCCAGTACTAGGATGCACGAGCGAATGTGACCGCAGGAAGAGCAAGATCTCGCGGGCAAGTCGTGGAAGCGAGACACACAAGATATACGGAGCCAACAAGACCGACACGCATTCCTCCGCGAAAAGCACGGCTTTGTAAGGGAACAGTACCGTGAACGCGTCTCGCACCTCGAACGAATGACACTGGCCCCGCCATTCCTTCGGAAAGTAGTGCGTTTCAGCAGAGACCTGCATCATCGCTTCTTCACAATCCCCGTTGACCAGGAACGGAGACGCAGACGTCGTAAAGGAACGCGATAACGCGAACACACCCGTCGAAATGGTCAAATACCACAGCAATTCATGACCAAATAGTGTAGTTTGGAGCAGCACCGACTCTTCCAACAGACTCACGAGAAGTAGAACAGCCATCAACGAGCTCGCACAGAATGACACGCCTCCAGCGATAATTGCCAGTGCACCGGCGGGAAACATGCCTAGATAACGGTCTGCTAGCGAGTACGAACGTGCCATCCGTGCATCGAGAACATGAGGGAGCTCGTTGTACTCTCGGAACCGCCAAACAGCATACGCCGACCAGCGACGTGTGCCGAAGTAGTACACGTGGTTCGTTTGCCACTCCTGCGCCGCTAGAAAGAAGAAACGCGACAGACGATACAGCAGGATAAAGGGAGCTAGCACGAAGTTGAGCACTCCTGCGATCACGAAGCGTTTCTTGAGCATCTCCACGTTGTGAATCACCGACGGAGCCAGATTCAACTCGGCGTCGAACATTTGATCCAGTAGACAGATATTCAGATTGGCCTCCAAGTTCCTCGAGCACATGATGTGCGATGTTGACAGGAACTGCAGCGACGTCGGCAGCAAGTTCTTGCTCTGGAATAGCGAGTGATTCATGAAGGCAATGAGGTAATTATCACGTCGCATGATGCGTCGGGCAAAATCATGGGGAGACGACAGCAGTGCTGGGTCAATCTGTAGCTTGAACGACGACAATTGCCGCATGTTCACTGGAGCATTGGCTCCGTTCACTAAATCCAGTACTCTGGTCACCACTTCGTCCCACGTGATGGTCTGCACTTGTCGTTCGTCAATATGGAGCCGTTCCTTGTAGAAAACCTCCATCTCTTGAGTGTCTCTCAGTGTCCCTATTAGCTGGAAAGCTCTTGAGATCCAATATACCAAGAACATGGCAAAGTAGAACGCTCCAATGAGCCCCAAGAGCCCGTTGTTATCAGCTCGGCATGTGATGTACTTCTCCATCTCCTGTGCACAACCTCCACTCTCGGGGTGTCTATGACATTCTAGCAGCGGCCCCCACTGCACACAGCCGAGAAGGAAGCTTGAAAGCACCACACTGAACAGTCCGGTCACTAGACTCACCAGTTCTACTACCACAATGCTCCAGAAGCCCTTGTGGTAGTAGTAATTGTATAGTGTGATGAGGAACGCGTCCAGATTGGCTACGTTTCCGTAGCGGTCGGGCACGGGTGACATGCGGCCGCTGGTTGGAGCTTCTCCCTGTCCATTAGATCGGCGTTGACCACCGGGAAGTGCCGACTTGGCTGTGTCCAGCACCTCTCGGAATAGCGTCGAGATAGCGGGAAGATGCACGTTGACACGCAGTGACGGCAGCTGTGGGACTCCCGTGGACGAACTGCCGGCGTGGCCGCCTAGAGCTGAGTCTGGACGACTTGTTCCGCCAAAAGGGGGCGCACGGTGGTCGTCCTTAAGCTCGTTCCAGAGTAATTCGTCTTCCTCTTCGGCATGAGCGAGATGGTCGTTGTTGGCGGCGAGAAGCGACTCATTCATTGCGAAGCAAAGAGCGAAAATGATATGGAAAGAGACAGAAAATGATGGAGAAAAAAGTGTACAGGTTGTGAGAGTCCAGAAGATGCTGGGGGCGATAAGAGGAAGACGGCGAGGTGACGGATCGCGATGCTGGAGAGCCTTCTTTCTGAGAACTTATGCGAACTTAAGAAAAATTGCGAACTTAATTTGAAGTTTAGTGTGGAGGACACAAATATAAGTTGAAATGCGATGCACTGCCAAGGTTCCGCTGTTTTTGATCAAGGTTGATCGTATGCTGCTAGAGACACATAAATCGGCTCGGCTTAGCTGCAGTTCATACGCGAGCCAAGTAGCACTAACCTGCATCGCGTACTGGTATTTCTTCCTGAGTTCAACTTGATCCACTGGGTCAAAGCCTGCAGTTGTGACAATCAGTGGATTCCCAATCTCCCAAGGGTGGGGACTGCATTGCGAGCACAAAAACCATTAAGTCTGAAGAGAACGACGATGACGATCCGTGTTTCGCGAATGACATGTTGAAGCGTGTCAATGCGTCGGCTAGATTCAGTTTCGTGACGTAAGCGTGTGGCTTACGGTACCCATAACCTACTGCTCTCTGAAGATTGTGCGCCTGTCATTTTTGCCACTGCGCAATTGTCCAACATCTGATGAAGTCGTCTTTATTCGCCATCTCCACGCTTCAGTTCGTCGCTCGGCGCTGTAAATACTACGCGTTCATCAATGCTTTCATCTGCAGCGTCGCTCTGAGCAGCTACATGGCAGTGTCGTCTATCGATCGAGAGGTAGA